GTTAAATTTCTATGCAGGTTTCTATATTTCTCTGTTCAAAAGCCATTTTGGGATAATTTTCCCAATTCTTTTTAGAGCAGTCAATCATCAAACTGTTGGAAAATGGGATTAACCTAAATTTTCTTTCATAGTTTTAAGAACTGAAATAAAATTTCACACTAGCCCTGGGTTTTCTTAACCCAGCTTGGCTTAGAACAACCTGGTCTATTGTGTTAACTGTTGAGCTACCCAGTCTCTAAAGCCATGTTATAAACTCTAGATAACAAATTTTGACCTCCAAGTGTCATATGCTTACAACCAACATACAGACTTGTCAAAGAAAAGCAAAAGCATCCAAGTCAGTAAACATACATGTAACTTTAACATCAATACAATGAAAATTGTACGTTAACATAAAGCAAATACTATTACGCCCACCAACTTAAGAGAGACAATCTCTACTAATGATAAGTACTTCAAATGGAAGTGTTTGTTATTTTACCTTTGGTGATGATGATATCGAGTAGTAACGGCACTGCAATCGAGGTAAAAGCTCCAACAAGTGATCAAGAGGTGGCTTGAGAGAGGAAAGATCTTCTAAGACAGCTACAACATGCCGGTGTGGAGTAAGAACCCAATCTTGATATTGTTTCTATTGAGAAATAAAAATTTTATAAATACCTTTTCAACCTTTGCAAGCAATCAACTATTTCTATTTGGCTTTATTCACTATAAGTAAAGGCTGAATGAATGCAAGTAGGTTTAACATTCCCCAGTCAAACACTAAAATATTTTTTTTATTGTATGAATGGAGGTGTAGGATACACCCCAGTCAAATAGAGAGTGAGTAATCCTTACAACCTTGTAACACTTTGACCCTAAGAGTGACTAGCATCTAATTTCTCCTTACAATATCACCTGCTGAAACACACATTAAAGTCACAAGAATAAACAAAATGATCACCAACAACAAAAGATCTTGACTGTTAAACAAATTCCCTTTGTCAGTACCTTAGGAAATGTAAAAAGGAACAGCCTGGAGAATTTGTATAAGGTGTAATCAGGGGATGATTACAATTCATTCAAAGGTGTGAAAAAAAGGAAACTACCTTTGCCTCCTCTGTTGTATCAGTAATGTTCATGAGGAACTCCTTGTGTTCAAAATCCTTGGCATATTCTGCTAGTTCTCTCAACACATGAGTCTTTACTACACTGGCAATGTCTACATAGTGCAGCAAGGCAGTTCGATATGTTGTGGGGCAAGGAAAAGGATGTTTCTTAGGTGAGTCCTCTGAAAACATAAGAATCACAGCAAGTTTATTGTGAGTGTAAATGACGTTATCATTAACCTATAGATGATGTGCAGCAGGGCAAGAAAAAGGATGTTTCCTAGGTGAGTCCTCTGAAACATAAACAATTACAGCAAGTTTACTATGAGTATAAATGATGTTGCCATTAACCTATTAATGACATGCAGCAGGGTAGTGCGATATATTGTGGGGCAAGGAAAAAGGATGTTTTTTAGGTAAGTCCTATGAAACATAACAATCACAGCAAGGTTATTGTGTGTATAAATTATGTTACCAATAACCTATAAATGACATTACCATTAACCCTTTAACTCCTATGAGTGACCAAGACAGAATTTCTCTTCACAAAATCAAAACAATATCAAGCAGACAAGTGATGAGAATAAAGAAAAATATTAATTACAAATAGGGGATTCTTAGTTGATCCAATAACAAATTCTCCACAAAAATATCACAAGAACTATATGGCTGACAATAAGGAGAATTACTAATAAGATCTTGGGAGTTAAAAAGGGTCCACAACATCTTGCTTTTTTATCATGGAAAACAAGTAGATTCCATTTTGCCATGGGTCTGTACCATAACAGATCACAGAAAATGTGAAAATGTTGTAATAACACCAGTGACACACTCAGCTGTGCTTCACATGCCACTCTTTTGTTCTTAATGCAATTTGACATCATCTGAGATCTATTACTGAACAGATGCACAGCAACATGGAATCCATCTGTTACAATACTCCATCCATTTGCTATCTGCAATGAGGATTTGACAGGGAGGCTGCAAGTAGTATCAAGGAAAGGGGGAGGAAATCTCTGAAGTTTTTTTTCTCATTAATTCAAACAAGTAATAACAAACCAGCAAGAAGTAAAAAAAATTGAGATTTTAGAGAGAGTTGTAAAGCGAAGCAATTTCGTATGCCTTTAAATAAATTAAAAGGATACGACATTGCTGCATCTCACAACCCACAACTGCACATAAAGATCATTCAAAATAGTTGGGCTCGTAAAGATATACTAGCAGGGGTGTCATAAATGCAAACAAATAATATCAAACAAGCAAGAAGTAACAAAGTTGCAATTTTAGAGAGCACTGTAAAGCGCAGCAATTTCATATGCCTTCAAATCAATTTAAAGGATATGACATTGCTGCATCTTACAACCCACAACTGCACATAAAGATGTCTGTCAAAATATTTGTGCTTGTAAAGATATACCAGCAGGGGTATAAGATAATCTTAGACCACAATAGACTATTTAAATGATTCTCTTTCCCAGCGTCTTAAGACTGATAATCCAATGATTCATAACCCTTGAAATTAAATCTCAAAGGCTATGATATCATAAGACTTTCCTGCCTAAAAACGATCCATGAAGATGTTGGCCTCAATGTTCTTCCTCTGATACTACAAGTATCAGATATGTTGGTTGAAGGAAGAGTGCTCAGTCATTAATCTTTCTGACAAGTTCTTAGCATGCCTATGAGTACATGATAACTTATCTTTAGAATGGGCAAAGATATTTGCTTAGTTAGTCGAGGGCATGTGTCTTCATCCTTTAGCTCCTAGAGGTGATTAACATCTTATTTCACCCTTTGATATATCTTACAATATCCATCACACAGGTACCGGTAATAGGAATACTCAAACTTATCAGGTAAAAGTTATTTTCTTGACCTAACACCAAATTCATGTAACTAATTTACAAGGGAACATGAAGCAGCTAAAGGGGAGAATTCTCAAGAAATGTAACTTTAAACTTGATATAGAGAATAAAAAATAAAATTTACCAGCATTGCAACACTTTGAATAAATAAAAAACAATTTTAGCACTAGGAGAGTTTTAAAAAGTCAACAATTTTGCTTCATCAAAGTATTTTTATCTTTCTAGAAAAACTACGGGAGTTAACTTTCAATCCTACTTCAGGGCGTGAAACACGCCCGATACAGGCGCCAACGCGACTAAATTTTTCCACTTTGGCTACCAACCTGAAAATTAGCCGCCAAATTGGCGACTAGAATGTTTCATCATAACTTTACAAAGAGATATAGTGAATTAAAAAGATTTGCAAAGATAAATCCGCGGCAAACTTCCTCGTTAAGTTTGTTTCCAAAACGCAGCACATGCATCTCGATCGATAACTAGACGCCATCTTGGATTAAGGTGAGCTTGAACGTTGTATACCATCCATCCTAGTGTCCACTTGTAGCACGTGAAAGATCTTTCCCTGAACTTAATTTTGGAGGGTCTATCTAGAACGCTGACAGCGTAAAAAAGGTCTTGTTTGTCTTTGAAAGTGGCGACTAACTTTTTTTGAATTGGCTACCACTTTGAAGAATTTAGGAGCCAAGTGGCTTTCAGAAAAAAAAAATTAATTTCACGCCCTGTACTTTTTTTGATCGCATGAGTCACAAAGATCATCCTTTGACCCTTAACAAAGACTAGCATCTAATTTCTCCTTACAATATCACCCCTGATTCACACATTAGGGTCACAAGAACAAAGGAAATTTTCACAAATGAAAGACACTCTTAATTGTCAAACAAATTCTCCTTGTCAGCACCTCAAGAACGTATGGCAAACATTAAGGAGAATATCCACTCTGATGTTAGGGTACAAAGGATTACTGAAAAGTACTACTTAAGCAATAGTGTCACTTTTTATTATGGAAAACAAACTTTTGACTGAATTCAATTGTGTTGATCAATGCTGGGAACCAAAGAAAGCAAAGGTGACAAGGAGTTTTGATAGAATTTCAGTAGTTGTATATTAATTAACTTCTCACCATCTGTATTGTTCAGTGAAACCACTGCGTCAAGATCCACATTCAAGAGGTTTCCTAGTTTCTCCACAAGTTCTGGATCATTCATGGGATAAACAGCGACATGGTCTCCTGCATCATACCTTGGTTGAATAACACATTCTAATTAAGAACATCCAAGGAGAGCAAGAGAGCAACACATTCTATGAAGGAGTTTGCACATTCATGGCCTCTTTCTGACCACTCTAACCCTAATACTGACTGTTGGCTTCATTGATCTGCCAATATGGGTTTGGAAGGAATACCTTTGCTTTATCCCATAGCAACTAATAGTCATTTATAACAATAGGCTTTCATGTATAAGAGCAAAAGGGGAACACATATCTTAAAAAAATGCACATACAGGTTAATGATAGAAAACATACTTGATCTTGGAGCCAGTGATATCAAGTTCAATGTGCATACAGGATCGTTCACCAGCTTTGTGCAGTTCCCGATTCACTAGAACCTTAGCCATGAATGGGTTCTTAGCATCAAAGGGCCTGAAAACAAGAACAGATTATCCTTAAGCTTTGAGCCATAAACTCTAACATCAAGCTCATCATTTAAGAACAGACTGCGACAAAATTATGACCAATTTCTTGTCTGCACTTACGGTCTTTGAGTGATGTACGATTTCAGTTTATTCATTTCTCCAGTATAAATTTTGTCCTCTGGAAAATCCTTAAGAATTTCAAGTCTGAATTGTCGATCAATACAAGAAGATAGTCTCCTGAAAAATATAAATTACACACATAAGTTATGTCAGATAAAGTATATTTTTTTCCCATCTTTAAGGAGGGGGTTTGGGGTCAGGGTTATCCCTGTTGAATCAAACATCTCCCAATTAAAGATATCTGAAGTTTGACAATTTTGTGGTACTTGGTACGTAAGACATATTTGACAGTTTTTTAATTTTTTAAAGCATCAAAAGGTTACCCCCAGAGTCATGAGTCATTTTGGGCAATGAGGTGCAACTGCTACCAGAGAGCACATCTCATAACCCTCACACTGAAAAGCATCACCCAAAAAAAATCTCAAAAAACAAAAAAAAGTATAATATTACAGACATAACAAACAAATTTGTTCTAGTAGAAATGTACCTCTTGATTTCTCTGACATCAATGTTATATTTGCTTAAAACTGCAGGCCAGAATGCTTCTCTCCATCGTACAAAGTCTTCTTCCAAACTTAGAAAATATGAAAAAAATAAAAACATTATTAGCTAACCTAAGGGTTAAAAGGCCTCAAGAGCCTGACGATTTGTTATTTTTGTTCTAGAACAGAATACAATTGGTAGTAACTAGTTTACTAGCACCCCCCATGTATAAATTTATATGCAAGGATAACTTTCTGCTCTCTTTTGAACTTACTTTCCATCATCATCTCCCTCTCCCTTCTCAAATACTCTTACAGCCCCCATCTCTTCCAGCCGTTTGTCCACAAATCTCCCCATTGCATTGTAATGTTCATAGGTTTTATTACCAAGGCCAAAGACCTAATATTCAGAAAAATAATTAGGAACAGACTAGCTACATTAATGGACTAATAAAACTACTTGTAACAGTTAACTAGTGGAACTTTTCCTTAACCTAGAACATCTCTCCCATCTTTTTATTTATTCTTAAGATCCATTTGTTAAGTGTTCCTTGACTTGACGAGGAACCTGAGAGATTTTTCCTCTAAAAATCAATCATCCTCCCATTTCCAACAAAAACATGCAGGTCTGCTCTTTTCATTTTATACATTATTTCAGAATTTATTATGTAATTAGCTTGATCAATGCAACTATCAGTGGTTTGCCCCAAGATATGAGGGGATGGGGAGATTGGCCACCCACACGAAATTGACCAAGAGGGCCCCCTGAGTAGGAATTTTGGTATTTATGTACCGCCTCAGGGTCAGGAATTTGACCTGGCTGCCATCTTGGAAGGCTGGGTGAAACTGAAAATCGAAATCATTTGCCATCTTAGAAGTTACCCTACAAAATTTGTTTATTGAAATTGGTATACAATCTCTCTGGACCCTAAGAATGGAATTTCAATATATAATGGATACCTATGAGTAAGAAAACTGATTTTGAAAACTTGAAAATGTCAATTCCCCTCCCCCTCCTCATCCTGAGGCAAACCATCAACAGGTGCATACAGTCAAACCTCATAATCTGCACTCATTGGGACTAGACCAAATAGTCCTGATAATCAAGTGACCCGATAATCAAGAATATGAATATTAGTGAGGAACAAACATTTGTGATGCTGTGTAGCTTGTTTATCTTGCATAACATACCAAATGAGCTAATAGAGCTTGAAATCTCACTTAACAACAAAGAAACTCTAAGCCAATCGAACCGACGGCTGCTTTTTATTTTTGAAAGCAAAACAAACTTCCCTTTACTTCACTTTTCAACACTGTAGTTTTAAAAAGAATATGGCTACGAATCTTGATCATGACCAATAAATATTCATAACAAAATTAGGGCCAGAGGAAAAGTCCAGATAATCAAGGTTCAACTGTAATACACAAAGCCTGAAATGTACACCCTGTAATCATAGTTACATTCTATAGTTCCCACAGTATCCTTATCAATTGTGTTTGAGAATTATTGTTCTCCTTCAGATGCTTACTGCATAACTAAGGCAATCCAGGTCATCCCTGTCATTCTGTAACCATTCATAGAACTCTTGAGCATTATCTGTAGGATCTCCTTCACCATATGTAGCCATAACAAATATCGCCATTGAATTCTCTATTTCTCCCATGCGAGCAAGTTCCTCCTATAAAAACAAACATATTCATTTAAAATGAACTTCTCACTGAAAATATCAGGAAGGGTGAATTTCTTTACTCTTTAAATTCCGGAAGTGATTTACATGTAACTTCTCCCTATAATATCCACACATTATCCAGCAAACAGGTTATGAGAATACTCAAACTTATCAGGTAGAAGTTTTTATCTCCATCTAACCCAAATATTCTTGTAACTAATTTACAAGGAAATGTTCTGGGAGAATAAACGATCAGATCATTGGAGTAAGTGGCTCTGCAAAAATGTTAGCTCACCAAAACGTGTTTCTCAAATATTATTTTAAACTTACTATGTCACATTCTTCAGGGTCCAAGACAAGAGCTTTTAATCCATAACGTTGAGCATCTTTTGATAAGCGGCCGGCAAACTCTTCTGCTGTCCCAGTTTGCGAACCATAGAAGATTGCTAATGATTTTCCCTAGAAAGCAAGCAGAATTTAATACATATTTCCATAACAGTAAATTAATATTTATAGTAACACAACACAGCACTATCATGGCATATTTACTCACAGATTTTTTCATTTTTCCAATAAAACTTGTATCATCTTGAGAAATCTTGGTAGTCGGCCTGTACAAACAGGAAAAAGCTGCTGAAATTTGAAATTTGGAGACGGAACACTATAGTTAGGTCTTACGTGCGATTGCAGTTAGCCTTGTCAGCAATTTGTGCCAGCCTACATCTACTGCTACTCCTAAATTCATACGACGCGTTAGTAATTAACAGAAGTTCGTAAACTCAAAAACGTTTTTAAAATATTCCCAGGAGTGCTCCAATAAAAAGAATGACATATGTCAACAACTAAAAATGTAAATTGCAACCGGCTTAAGCTCAAGCAAAACTGCACATATTCCTGTCTCCCACAAGATGAAAGGTTAAAATGACTCTATACTTGAATATTACTGCACCCTAAATAAAACAAATTCAGGGTAATCGGGAAAACTTACGCTAAGACCAACTTCTGTGTGAGAGCGGCAGTCTCTGCTTTCTTTTTGCGTCCACAAAACCAATACAATAAAACGCCGATGAATGAAGCAAACAGGACGATATCAACCGTTCCAACTAAGGGCTTTTCTGCTACATCAGCTGTAGACATGACTGATCCCTAAAGATTCACTTATTTTAAGCTCTAGCCAATTTTAAACTGATTTCCCAAACACAGACCGTCCCTAATCTCGGTAACTTCGCTAAATACTTACGTAAGGAGCAGCAAGTGAACCAGCGCTTTGCATTGTGGATAAGATTTACTCACGCAAAGATACTGGAACCCAGTTCCGCCCCACCCTCGCCTGGTTATCTAAGGAATATACCACTCGGTGAAAAGTGCATATCGCGCGCGCTTATTGGCTAATTTGGAAGCGAATAGCAAGTACTATTCACCTACACTTCGGTGAATAATTAATAATTTGTATATACTAAAACGGAAAATAGCGTTGAACGCGCGCTCCGATTGGCTACTCAAACTCCTAATATCCTTTGCTATTCACCTCTGAGCAACGCGCACCGGATTTCCGCCCGGAAATGTTGTAATCGTTGCAGGAATAAATAAGTGAAATCATCTTTTTGTATTGAAAAAAACTCACTGTTTTAGCATAAAAAAACTGTGACAACTATTCGCACCTCGGTAGATATCCACCACTGACCACCTCCACTTCGGGTGAATAGTTGTTAATAGAGAAGGAATGAATACCGCCACGATTTAAGCTTCATTAAAATAAACTATTGAACTTATCTTTAAAGGCTATGTTATTAACAAAACTGCGTCCTGCTGTCGGAGACTTTGATTCGTGCGTGATACATGTCAGATGATGAGTGTGAACATTATGTCAAGAGGTAGAAGCACCGCCTTAAGTGATTTTGGAACATTGATCGGTTTACATGATCAAAGCAACCTTGAATGACCTTTTAAATCAGTATTTACCAACAACCAATCACAATGTAGAGAATATCTTATAAGAGAGTGATTTCTTACAAATTTGACAGAGTAGCTTTTTACACACCCGTCGTACAGAAGCGAATACGAGAGTGGAATAAAACAGTTTGATTGAGTCTAGTTCGTTAGAATTCTATCCCTAGTAAACAGAGCAAAGTTTACGAAACTGCTTACACAACAAAAATAACGCACTATCTGTGAATTTCGGCTCCAAATAACAGAAAACCTCACAATTATAAGGTGAAAAAAAAAGAAAGAAAAGAGGACACTTGCGTTCTAGTCTAAAAGTATTGAGTAAAACAAAGCCTGAATAGAAGACTGCTATGGAGACAAGTAACTGTTGGGAAATAGTTATATGACTAGCGAGGAGTCAAATACCGAACGCCCAAAAACAAGATGCAGTGAACATTTTAAACATTACATTTGTTTATTTCAGAGGCTACGTCTTTCTAAAAGGAGGAGTCACACCGTGGGTACCGACCTGACCGTTATGTTGACATCCTTGCTGCGTATTTCTTGAATTAACCTTTTCTCGGAAGAGCACTGAGAGATGCATACCGTGTAAGTTATTCAGATTCGCACTTTTTCGCCACCTGGCTCTGGTTGTTTAAAGGGTGGATAACGCTTATCCACTGGAAAACCTCTATCGGTTAGTTAGCGCATTACATTTTGCTTACACTCATCCGCTGTATAGCGATTTATCCAATGGAAGGTGTTATCGTTAGCGTTAGCTTTGGGTGTTTAACATTATGTGATTAGTGTTAGCGCTAGTTGAACAACTGAGCCCTGAATTGTTGAGCTGGTAGGGGGAAGGGTAGTCTTGGACACTTCAGTATACACTCCAGTAACGCCCTTAAGTTTGTGACCTTTTTATGCAAAGGAAGAGAAAACAGAGAGGAAGGTTCGCGGTCTGGGCCTTGAGATATCTAAACCGAAGTGGGCTCTTTACGCCCTAATATCAGTAGGCATATTCTCCATACTGTTCTCTACACATTTCTTGAGGTGCTGACGAGAGGAATTTGTTTAACAGTCAAGAGCTCTTTTAGTTGGTGATCATTTTTTTTATTCTCGTGACCTTGATCTGTGTTTCAGGGGTGATACTGTAAGGAGAAATTAGATGCTAGTCACTCTAACCTGTCAAAGGGTTAAGTTCCTTGCGGATACTACCTCGAACTGACATCTACTTTCCGAGACGTCCACATGAAGGTTAACCTAAAGACGATTTTCAAATTGAAAGCAATGTGACAGCGAAGAGCGAGCAGGTAATTAAATTTCGATGAAAAACCACTTCGAAAGAGAAGGAAATTGTATTTCTTGAGCAATAATTTACCGGCGCAGGCGATTTCTATTCAAACTTAGCTAGCCACAATAAACAGAACCGTTGTATAATTTTTTAGCTAACACGCAAAGCGTTGCTCTCTGTCCCTTATTTTCTCTCAATTACTTTTCAACCCTTTACATTTTGACATAAGCATATATATTCTCTAAACTGTTCTCTATATATTCACTATGGGAATAGCAAGAAGAATTTGTTGAACAATCAAGAGCTTTTTTAAATGGCGATCATTTCCTTTAGTCTCGTGACCGTCATGTTTGATTCAAAAGAGATACTGTGAGGAGACATTGGATACCAATCACTCGGTGTGAAAGAGTTAAAGAGTGAAAGGGTTTATCACGTCTTCAGTTTAATTTACTCTTCTAGCTTAGTTTAGACCGACAGCTAACTGAAACATTAACAAATTTGTCATCACAGTCAAACGGGAGAATTGAAAGGGACTCCTGCCCTTCTAGTAAAAGTTTATCGGATTGGTTGGAACCCAGATCTTCTGCGTGAAATACAACTGGTTTCCTTTGGTTAAGCACCATAGTCTTCATTCGGTAAATGTTTCCTGAAATAATGAAGCCTTTGAATGTTGTCGGCGACATCGTTTTCCAGATTTTTATTGGCCTTTTGCAGTTGTTGATAAAACTGACGCTTACACAGCTCACTAAGAAAGAGTTAGGAAAACAAAAACGTACGTGAATGACAGTTTATATGCGCAGAACAGATAACATTTCATGTCAGATGCGCACACAGGCTGAACAAGTTTCTATTCTACATTAGGGCACCCTGACTACTCCACTTTAAAATCACTGCTGATCCTTGCGATCAGATTGGCCCTCAGCAGTGCGATTTATTCATAAATCGAAATCCTTCTTTTGCACTAAATCGCACCTTTTTCATATTGAAATTCTGCTCAGTTCAGTATACATCAAATTTCCTTCGACGTATGATAAATGAAATGAACGATCGACCTTTATGTACCCGGACTTGCTACTTACTTGCCACAAACGAAATAGACCCTTTACAAATGTTATAAAAAAACAGTACGGAATGAACAGTTTAGACCCATTGGATCATCGCAAATTACCCTTATTTCACAAATCTTCTAGATAGGGTTAATGCTCAAAGAAGTGTTAGAAGTGAATAATGTTTCTACAACGTGAATGAAAGCCCTAAGGGAATCTTAAGATAACTCAACCCTGCCATCCCACAACTTGAGATTTGAACGCCTCTTCCCCTGCTTAATGAAAGTATTGCGTGACATGCTAAAGATCCAAGACCTATTTCTCCCAAATGACGAGAGCGTTGTGTGATATCCCAAAGAAACGATAGCTAAATCTCCCAATTTATGAGAGTGTTGCATGACATCCGGCGCTGGAATGGAGACTACTAGATTCGTGGACTATTCCTAAGAATTTGTCGTTATATCTGGACCGGATATGATGCCAATACTAAGCCCCAGTTGATGTTTTGCCAGAATCTCTCTTGCTCTGATTGATAGTATATAAAAATTGCCAGGAGAATTTACGTACTGAACACTCGTGGGAGTCGAAGAGTCGAACCACGGAAACGTCAGACCCCACTTAAGACCCTTTTGAACCACTTTAACCAAACCCAAGTCTATGGCGGAACAGTCAAACCTAATATTTTAGTTTGTCAATTCTCTAACAAGAGTAAAAACCAAAGCAATAAGAAGAAAAAACCGAAATTAATTTCAAAATCTTACCAGATTGAGAGTCCTCCAGTTTTCTCGCTTCATCAGGTAATGGCAGAGAATTTAGTCTCAAAACACAATACGCCACCAGCACAAAAAATAGTTTCCACTGCGCCTTGGAGTAGAACACGACTAGCATAGCAACGTAATGGGTCGCCATGTTTCCATGCCAGTTGATGGTAAAAACTTTGAAGGTTTCTTGCTATTTTACGACATTTATTTTGTTGACTTAACTGGTTACATGTTAGTTCTTAAACACTTCAGTTGTTAGAATCAATATTCCACTAGGTCACTTGAGTGGCACCTGCAGACAAAGGACAATGCACGCTATTTATTGACATAAAAGTCAATTATTCATTAGACTTGTAACCCCTTCAGCAAGTAAAAACCTAGCCTTCCGTAGTCTCTCATTTTTACTGCTGCAGGACGCGCGTTTTTCCGCCCGCGGGAAGATTTGAGACGAGTTTGGGAGAGATTTGCCAGGAGTCTGGCACTAATAATCAGTGCTTACCAGGTTCTCACAAGAAAAAAAGGAAAGATGAACATGTGCCGTTCTCTTTGTTATAAAAGCTTTACTTTTTTTTATCCAAACCGATATGTGGAAATCGTCTCTAGCTTGCTTACAGTCACATCAGCATCTGCTGAGGGCGTTACTCTCGCCCTGTTCACTCTTGCTCATGCCCCTCATCATCTCGCCCCTCCACATCCCTCACGCACTACTTACACTTGTCGTTGTTGTTATCGCTGTTGTTGTTGTTGTTTGTTTGTTTGTTTTTTTTTATAGAGGGCACCTATGGAATACAAAGGGGACTTATCAGATAGGGTTTGCAGTGGACTCATCAGATAGGGTTTGCTATTTATCGATTTATGTAACAGTCAAGGAAGATGCATGCAGTTTGTCTAAAAAGCGAATAAGGTAAAATAGATTAACTATTTCAGCCAAACCACCATTGAATTCTTTCGGTGATTTCAAATATCCAGATACGTGGATAAATCGTCTTGCAAGTGCTGCAAGTATGTGCAGAAGCCTATTGCGCAACGTTGATTGAATACTTGTACAACTCGTAGACTGTTACATAACAACTCCTTCCTTCTTACTGGCTTTTCGTTAACCCGTTACACTACCACTTGATCGGAGAAAACTATTCAGCTGCGAAAGCGCCAGGTCTTCTCTTACCGGTAAACAATTTTTCGTCCTGTGTTTTGTGTTTTATCCATTTCCTCTCATCATCTGACTACAAGACTTTGTTTAAAACTTTAAGGAGAATTTTAGTACTGATCACCCACTTTTCTGCTTCTCAGCTGAGCCCACTCTGCGATCGCAGTATTAGCGGTATGCGGTATCCGACAAAGGGGACAGCCTCAAAATCAATATTATTTTTAAATTTCTTGAATTTCGAAATGACTTCCGACTGAAAAGGAAGTTTTTCCTGTTTGAGTCTTTTTTGTTCTTCGCAAAAACGAAGTGTAGTCTACATTGATATCTACTGATAAGGCGTTCGCCCGATACATATGCTTCAAAATTTTGCATCTTCGTGTAGCGTCTGGTGAACCTCACGGAGGAAATGACTTGGCACGAATGACGGTAACATTATTGCAGTTGTAATGGACTTTGTTCCTGTATTTCTTCGTCGGAATAATGGAATATTATGAACCACAAAATATTCAGCTGAATGGTTTTACGCCTATCAATCCAGACGAGAATTTAACTGCAGGTCCATCTGTCGACCGGTACGGTTTTGTCGGAGATCACAAACAAGCCTCGTAAGTCTACCTGTGTTTAATTTATGTTAATTTAGTTCAAAATAACTTTCTGCAGTCGAAAGAGCTTACATGGGTGGAACGTAAGGCTTGGTAAGTGTGTAATAGCTGTTTTGTATGGTGATTTCTGTCAGTCGACTGCAATCTTGTTAAACGTACGAATATTCAAAATAAGTCAGGGCGCATTTAGAGCAGGGGGGGTGGGTAGGGACACAATCGAAATTATACGGCTGTAATAAAGATTTTGTTAATTAAAAATTAAGTTAGATAACGGTGGGAGCTTTTTAAACCAAGACTGTGCCTTTTACATATTTGCCTAAGCTCTAAGCTATGTTAGCACGTAGAGTGGTATGTTGCTTGCACCAATTGGATCACTGCATTAGGGTATATATCTCACACTAATCATATCACAGCATTTGGATATCTTGCACCAATCACTGCATCAAGGGTATGTATCTGGCACCAATCATATCACAGCATTTGGATATCTTGCACCAATTAGAGTGTTTGGGTATTGTTTTCTCGGAAATGGAATGGAATCAGGGGGCTATGCACAAAGAATGACATTACCCATACATTTTGGCTCATTTGATGAGTATAATGGTTTGTGGCCAACATGAGAGTGTTGTTATTCGATGTCGAGAATTATTGGGGTATGAAAGGTTCGCATTTAACCTTTTTGTACCATTTTTAAGTTAAAACATGTTTTTTCCATTCCTTTACTCACAACTCACCCTCCAAACAGCTTACATTCCATCACGTACCAAGAAAACAACGTCCAAAGTCCAATCTGAACATACCCAATCATTGCACCACATAAACATTAGGCAATTCTTCACATGCCTGAACTGTATCCATCAATCAAATTCAATTTTGCCAAATAAGACTTCTCTCCATTATGTGTCATTTCCTCGTAAACAACCTGCATTTAATCACGTATCCTAACCACTTTGTCTAACCCTACTGAAAAAAATCCTCATGAAACCAAATACTACTAATAGTGAATTTTCCACTCAATTCTCCCGTGCTCTGAGTTTTTCTAAAAATAAAATTGGCTTTCAGCTTTCTTGGACTTAATCCAATAACATGTTAATTCCTCATAAAAAAACCTGCATTTTATCATTTTTATCATGTATTTCACACATAGAGGGTATAGTCCAGATAGGAGCCCTCTTTGAAATATTATCCTTTTGTCGTATTCAATGTAACTTCACTTATTCAAGATCACACTATATCTTTGGTTAAGGTCTATTGGAGATACAACAGAGTTTCAGTTTGCTTTTCTTAATAAAATTACATGGAATTATATTTTTGAGGCAACTAACTGCAGACAAATAAATTTATTTTCTCTCTGTTAGAGGAAGGGTAGAAAACATACTCCCTTTTGCAACCTTTATTTGGTCTTATCAAGCAATGCGCTCTCTCTCCAGTGGGGAATAGATGGCATTGTGCGATGAGACCAAACAACAGTTGGGAAGGAGACAACATTAAGTGTGGCACTGATGCATTTTGTTTTTGCTTGGAAGTATTAAGACAATAGCGACAATAGACCACAAAATACCTTTGCAAGTTCAGATAAATTAGGTTTTTCTTTCTTTCTCTAAAGGTGAAGTAATGCGATATTTTCATCCATTTGAAAGTAATGTTCTTTTTCTGTTACAAAAATGAAAACATTATGTACACATATGTACACAAAGTGCCCCATCATAACTTTCCCAGCCGAAAAAATAACTCTTGCATGCTATGCATGCCTATTTTTTTGAAAGTTGGCAACCTAAAACCACAAAATGGTCACCAAAATAAGATTTTTGCTGTCATGAAGAAAGGTAAAAAAGGAAACATGAAGAGGAGATGGAAGTGCCATATTACATAATTTTTTATGTGATGTTTATCTCACCTTTTCTTCCCAAAATAGTGGCCAAAATTAAATTCTAGCTGGCACAAGGAAAGAAAAGATGTACCTTTAAAGAGAATATGGAAGTGCTTTGTTACATAATTTTTTAATGTGATGTGTAATCCACCTTTTATTTTTCAGAAACAGCAAAACTAGTTTACCCATTGAAGTTATAAGACAACGAGAGTTGAAATGGGTGCACATGTTTGATGACTGGGATAAATGGATGAACAAAAAGTTCTCAAAGGTCAGTTTGAACCGAGGGGAGTGCAATTTGGTTTGAAATAATATGCATGATTTCAAAATAAAACACATGCACATTTGCGTATTTGTTTTGAAATTTCAAATTTAATTTCCAACAAGTCTCTTCACAAGACATAACATATTGAGAAATTGTCAGGTTTTTTTGGTTTTTTCAAGAAAATGATTAGGAGCATGAAGCTGAGTTTACTTTGATGTACTTTATAATCATGCAACTAGGTGAAGGAAAGATGCCGCAAAGGTATTCCTTCGTCAGTTCGTGGGAGGGCTTGGCAGCACTTATCAGGCAGTGCCGATCTAAAGAAGAAAAATGAAGGAAGGTTCCAAGTATGTTGGAAGGCAACTGCCATATATATTTTAGTCTCACTATTTTTTAATTTAAATGTTGCTTTCTAGTAGAACTTTATAAGTCACCTTTTTGTAATTAAAGATGGCTTTGAAGCTTGTAGTGGCCAGATGGTTAGTGTGCTGGACTCTGGGTATAGAGGTTGTAGTTTAAGATCTTGCTTGGTCATTGTGTTGTGTTCTTGGGCAAAACACTTAAATTTAACAATGCCTCTCTCCACTCAGGAGTATAAATGGATACTTGTAAATTATCAGGGAAGCCTGATGAAATGCTAGGGGTGACCATGTGATGGACTGGCATCCAATTTAGGAGAGAGTAACAATATTCTAAGTTGCTTCATGCCATGGAAGCTGGGATGAAGCCACTTAGCTTGAGTACAGACTTCACATTTTAATTTGAAGTTTGCAATTGACATACGACAAAGTTCACTTGGGGCTTAAGGCCATATCATGGTTTTGGTAGCTTTCTTGTTAAGAAGGCAAATGTGTCAGAAGGTAGAAGTGTTTACATGAAACTCAGATGTCAAATATCTTGTAAAAATTTTGTATTCAGATAAATGAATGAGTTGCAAACTCTCATAACTAACAAACAGCATTCTTGTAGAATCTTATATTTTTGTATATACAGGTATTTGTTTGTAAATTCTCTCTTACCAGTCCAGATGGCTTCAAAAAATTGGTCATCAATCACACCATTTCTATTTGTTAGGATTATTTGTAGGGCAGCACAGTGTAGAAATCATGCTATCTTGCAATAAAAATTTGTTTATGAAATAGTAAAGTTAGATATGAGAATTAAAATATTTTGACTTATTCTAGGAACTAGTTATGAAAGAATCCTCACAGTGGCAGGATGTGATTACTAAAGATCTAAGCAGAACCTTCCCATTTCATGAGATGTTTTGTGAAAAGGATGGGTTGGGGCAAAAGGATTTATTCGACATCTTGAAAGCTTATGCAGAATATGACACAGAGACAGGATACTGTCAGGTAGAATTAATAGTCTTGTTTTTTTTCAACTTCCTGTGGTGAAATTTAAGCATGATTTTTAAACCTGATGAATTATTCATCTGCTGTGTTTTGCACAGGCAATGGCTCCAGTTGCAGCAGTGCTTTTAATGCACATGACAGCAGAGGTGAGCCATGAGTTTAAACAATTCTGCATTTGGTTACTATATTTATAAAATGGGTTAAGTAAAAAAT